AGCGATTTTTTCTTATTTGATATTAGCAATCCAGTCTGGCTAAACAATCTCTCCGACTCTGTAAAATTAAAATTAATAAGAGTGATATTCGTTTATATGCACCGTAGGCAGACTAATTTCTTTAGGTATTGCGAAATTCGATCACAACACAATGTTCACATAATATTGTCGCGAACAGAGTGCTGCCGTGTAAAGAGTAATAAAGTGAACCTCATCATAACGAATGGAATAAGTGGAGGTAAGTTTTCAAGGGGTTTTCAGCGAAAACTGTGTTTTCGTTTGACAGATTTTGTATGGATGAAAACACAAGTTTTCGTGTGAAAACCTCTTTTGTCTATGAAAACACGAATTTTTTGTCGCTGCGAACGTAGTATAAGAAGTTGTAAATTCGGATAATGAGTAGTAATACTATGTTCGCACCGAATTGAAATCCTCTTGAAAACACAATTTGTGGATTGTGGAACCAAAGTCCTTCTGACCGACATTGTGGGTTTTCGATGAGTTTTCATTGACAGTTCACACATCTATTTGTTTACATTTGTTATGTACCCTACAAGAACAGTGACGGTCATCTGATGGGTAATATGACAGTCATAGCTAAAAAAATTTTGTCAGCGCGCAGAACAAAGTTTCTATGATTTTCTTAAGATCCTTTTTTCTTTTTGTTTGTTTGTTTTGTTTTTGCGGAGTCATTGCTGACCATAAATCCGTCATAGCTGAAAATTGTCAGTTATGACTGAAACGCTATTAGAAGTGAAAAATTCTTTTGCGCAGTAGATAATACTTGTATAATTTTTATTTCTTTAATAAATTTCAAACTTTTAATCAAAATTAGTTATAATAATATACTTAAATATATAAAGGAATGCAACAAAAAATAGAATAAAATATGAAAATATAATATACTTAAATATATAAAGGAATGCAACAAAAAATATAATAAAATATGAAAATATAAAAATAAATTTTCACTTGATGCCATCTCCTCCTCGCTCTGCGTACGTCTTTCTCCAATCAGTGGATAGTTCTAAATTTAAAAATGCAAACGTAAATTAACAGTACTGACATATCAAATGTGAGTATATTGGTGAACCCATCAGCAGTTTCTTGTAGCGTACGTTTAAGCCAATTATGGAATGTAAACAAATTGTCAACTGACATTTAGGACTGGCAAAATATGTCTTCTAATAATATCGATTAAACAAGAGCAGGCACCGATTATAATGAGTGAAAGATTTCAAGTGGTTTTCAGCGAAAACTGTGTTTTCGTTTGACAGATTTTATATGGATGAAAACACAAGTTTTCGCGTGAAAACCTCTTTTGTCTATGAAAACACGAATTTTTTGTCGGTGCGAACAAAGTATAAGGCGTTAAATTGTTTGGATTAAAATTAAAGACAAGTGTATAGCCATTAAATTAGGACTTTTATTTAACAATCCAGTGACTGAACTCAAGAGTAAGTTACAAGGTAGACGATTTATAATTTTATTCTCAAAAATTAGGCGTACTTAATAAAATCAAGGTTTCTTTACAAGTTTTATTGGCATTTCAGAACATTAGAAATTCTTACCTAATTGTAAATATTTCCGCAAAATTCCTTCTAACACATCCAACACCTAATTAAAGTGTATAAAATTGTTAAATTTTTATTTTTTTATTTGTACATTTTTTTAAAAATTGTCCGTGCTTATGAATTTGAAACCACGGCGCGCAACCAAGCTAATAATGAAAGGATGATTTTGAGGCGACCAAAGCAAAGCAATTTATTAAATCACCGATGAACTTCCCAACAGCGCTATTAGCGATTTCTGTTAAAGTTATAAAGACTATATCAAATAAATCTTTTTATTAAGAGAAATTTTGTAATTTTATGAAAATTTACATTGCCAAAGGAGATTATCAGCTGTCAAATGCGTTGCATTTTTTTTTCTTCTTGGTGAAGTTATTATTAGTTAAATAAATATAAAAACGTTTAATCCAAAAAAACAAAAACTCATAATAAAGATATGGAAGAAAAAAATGTAGATGTGATCGACTGAACAGATTCGGTGGAGGTGTTCTATTTGCCTGAATCATCTGAAGATGTTTTGTTCCAGGAACCGACTCATTTGAATTTAAATGTATTACAGTCTATGTTAATAGTTGCTTTATTTATTTAACCCTGTCTTATATACCACCACATTTGGACTTATCTGTATATATGCAGCATGCTTCTTTAATAAATAGTGCTACTTCGATTGCAAATAATGCAGATTCAATAATCGTATTAGGAGATTTCAATTTACCGTGTGCTTCGTGGAAAGCTTTCGATGACTATATCGTACCGATTTGCAATCGGTCATGTTTTCATGAGTTGTTCGAAAAAATGGCCGAGTTGGGTCTGAATCAAATTAATTTAATTCCGAATAAATTTGGTAAATGCTTAGATTTAGTATACGTTGATACCTCTTCAAAGTGTTCCGTTATTCAGAGTAATTATCTTGTTCTACCAGAGGACTCATATCATCCTGCTTTGGAAATATCTGTCAAAATCATAAGCAATGTACGTGATAATAATTATCAAACTTCGTGCTTCCGTACTCGGTTCAACTTTGCAAAAGCTAATTTTAAAAAGTTAAATATAGAACTTTCTACAATATCATGGCCTAGTTATAATGCTGATATTGAATTGAGTGTCTCTCATTTTAATAACATTATTACGAAATTATTTGAAAAGTATGTTCCAATAGTAATTGTTAATAAAAGTAAAAGTAGAAGTCCGTGGTTTTCGAAAGAGTTACATAAGTTGAAAAACAAAAAAACTCGAGCTTTTAAAAATTTAAAAAATTTGTCTTCGTAAATAAAATGAATGACAGCATAAACCCAAAATAGAAAAAGTTCGAAAGCGCTTGCCCACAAGAGCAACCAGATCCGTTATTAATTTTTGGAACCGACGACACTAATGCAGAGAATATCAAAAATCAGTAGTTATATTTATATGTAAGTGTTATTTATTTTATCAGTTAATTTTTTCATTTACATTCAGTTCATGAAGTGAAATTCGCGATTATTTGCTTTGTTATTTTTATGAACATGAAAATACCTCTATAAAGTTTCATTAAGATATATCATATGAACATACGAGTATGTATAATAAAAAGTTAGCCGAAATGACGAAAATCTATATTTGGTGTATGGGGCTAGATTAACGAATTAACTGATTTAAAATATTTTTGGCACCGACCTAGGGTATGCTCATGAAATAATTGCACTCAATTTCATTAAGATATCTGTAACATAGTGAATACGGGCCAGTTTAATAATAAATACCCTTAACTGTGACTGCGGGACTTTTGATTGGTTAGTCAGCCTGATTTTACTGTTATTGAAAACTTTTCCAAGCAGCGAGAAAGCAAAAACCAGAACTAATGTCGAACTTAATTGGTATACATACATACACTAGGCAGAAAAAGTCTGTGTACAAGGTACCAACAAAAATAAATCATTGGAAAAAATAATTTAATGTACTTTTTATAAGAACCAATTTATTTGATGTTCATTTAAGGACATTAAATATGTTGTTTTATGAAAATAAAAGTGATTTAATTTCCGACAATAACATAAAAATAAACAAAGCAAATGTCGACGAATAAAAATTCCATTAGAAAAAGGAGCAAGCAAAGGTATTCTTCCACCAAATTCTTAAAATTTAATAGAAAGTCAGATATCTCCAACGTTTTAAAACTTCCGCTAAAGGTTTTGGCATGTAATAGCTAAGCTCAAAGGCTTTTTTTGAAGGGATGTGAGCCAATTTCTCGTTCAGCACATCCTTCAGCATATCCTTTAAGGTAATTATGCGTTGGTGGATTTTACGTTCCAGTGAATCCTATAGGTGTGTTTTAGGATTCGAATCTGGTAATTCTGGTGGTGTTTGAGGCTCCTTGGGAACGTTGTAGAGAAACCAAAGCTTAACTATGTTTATGCATCACAATTTGTAAACACAATTCTTCCGCTCTTTATTTTTAAGATATTAAGGTATGAATATTTGTCCATGAAGCACTCTTCCATTCGATCCACACCATTACTGGCTATGCACCCCCATATCATTACTTCTTCACCACCGTTCTTCACAGTATGCATCAAGATTTCCTTATCGAGTGCCTTGCTCATTTTTCGCCATAATATCTTTCGGCCTTTGATTTTAAAGACCCAAAACTTGTTTTCATCGGACAAAATAACCTTCTGCCAAAACTCCCGGTGCTTGTTTAAGTGCTCTTTCGCGAAAGCATTATGCACTTGTCTATTGATTGACGATATGAATCTCTTCCTGTGTGCGACTTGACCATTAAACCCTGCTCTTTTTTTTTTTAATTTTGCGAATCGTGTCAGTGCAAAGCGATTTCTAAAAGATTTCCTAAAATTTTTTAAAAATAAAAGTAAATTAAAATTGTTTATATTTTCTGTGACATGGTTACGTGTTGCACGCTATGCTAGTAGTTTTGGTCGCCCTGGACGGGCCGAGATATGAAAAAGCCGGTATTTTTGTAAATTTTTATTATCCTTTTAATGGAAGAATGTGTTCTTCCAACAACTCGCCCGATTTCCCTGTATGTTTTTCCTTCTTCCAAAAATTTAATTTTTATTTCCCTTTCAGAGGATTCCTTTGTTTTCTTTTAGGTGATATTCGATGTTCTAAATTTAATAACAAACTGAACTAAGCAAAAATCGTTAAAATTGCTACTTATACGAAAACAAGTAAAACTATAACTTTCCGACACTTTTACTCTTGGTTTTTACGCGAGGAATTCCCATTTTACAACTTGTACGCAGACTTTTTCTGTGCTGCGAATTGACAATTTCTTTGCTTTATATTTTATGGGATTATGCAAAAGACTAGTAATTAAGCACTTAATGAGAAAATTAGTCATAAGTGTGTACGAAGACTTTTTCTGCCGAGTGTATGTGTTATTTACCGGTTTTTCGAGTTGATAATATTATTAGAGAGTGAATAGTATTATTTAGTTATAAGTAGGTGTCATTTTCGTGATAGCTATATTAGTTTTAAACTTTGTCACTATATTTTAGTTTCTAACGGATATATAATAAAAATGAATGATTATGAAGTGAGTACGAAATCTGTGTAAACAATAATTTGGGTAATAAAATGTTATGAATGTTTAGATTTTGTATCAAGTGTGTACGCGGTTTAATTTATTTTTTATTGAGATTGACCCTTTGGAGCTAGCAGCTAGGATTATGTATATTAACTCCATCGTGGAAAAATGGTCTTATGGACCATTGAGAACCTTGCAGACCACATCAATTAATTCCTCTTTTTTTTAATAAAAAAAAAGAGATTACCAACTTCTCAATACTACTGATACTTTAGAGTATGTTGAAATTTCCTCTATATGTGTGTATGGTATATGTGCCGAATAAATTGCAATAAAGGAAGAAGGAACATGGTTCAAGTGCAGTAGAATATTATTACGCATTGATGAAACTAAAGAAGTGAGAATATTTCTAAGTGTCTGCAAAACCTTATTGTAAAAACTTTTGCACAACAAATGTGTATGCCTAACTTAATTTCATTAAGACCTGTAGTCAAACCATTGCAAAGCTGTCTGTATCTGAGCCCACTGCTTGAAAGCGAGTAGGAGGATACTTTTGTTAATGATATAAAGTTTTATATTTCCTTCAAAATTAAAACTAACAAGTTAAGTATTAGAAAATAAAATTTTACTTATGAAAAGAAAAATCAACTAACTAAACACAAAATCTGCTTTGATTTTAAGTCTTAAGTTTTAAAAATGCAAAGAAAAAAAATTGGTTTTTCATTTGTCATTTGAATAACATTAGTAAAACTGGTCTAAAATATGCCAAACAAATAAATGGTATGATTTAAAAAAAAAAACACGCTAATTGTTGAGGAAGTTCAAATGTTTTTTATTTAATGTGAAGTGCAATCGATACAATTAAGTTCTTAATATAACGGCATTCAAATGGCCTACACGACTTCTTCTGCAGGAACGAATTCGATGAACCCAATTTACGAGTACTTTTGCACTAAATCAAGTCGTATGTCCCGAATAGCACGTTCAATATTGACTTCAGAAGCTTGAAGAGAGTCTGGTTTATTGTTAAAGACAAATGACTTCCAATAACTCCATCAGAAGTAGTCTTATGATGTTAAATCACAACTTATTGGAGATTATTCAATGACACAATTCGGTTGTTGCACGTGCTGTGTGGCACGTTGCACTGTCTTGTTGGAACCAGATGTTGTCAAGATCAACTTCCTCTAATTAAGGCCATAAAAAGTTGGTAATCATCGATCTATACCGATCTCCATTGACAGTAACGGTGGCCAATGATTCCACCAGACCAAAAACCACAACAAACTGTTAATATAAGTGAACCTAAGGATTGTTCATGAATAATTCGTGGATTTTCTTCGCACCAGAAACGAATATACATAATTCCAATAATCATTTTATGTTATTACAAATGAAACCCCCAAATTTTTTAAACTAGTATATAATAATTTTATTTTATGCGGTTTTCTTTTATAAAATCGTATCTTTTCTTTAAACGACATTTCTTCTCCCGAAAACCCGTTTAAAGAGAAGATCAAGCGTATATCGGTCTCTGTGTGCTTTTTTCCTGAACTTGCTTGGAAACATGTTCTTGAGTATACTTGAGTAATTTCAAATATATGCAATCATCCAAATTTTCTCCCAGCCCTTATAAAATTTTAAACTTTTGGATTGGTCAAAATGTGTCATATTTTAATGAAATTAAGTGGGCCTGCCTTCATAAATACGTTATAAAGTCATTTAACGCGGAATTTGAGTGAAATCGTACTATGATTTGAGATTCTCGGATTGACATTTTCTTGGCATATACTCTATATAAAGAACAGCCCCTTGACTTGGCTTGAGTTTATATCAGATGTTTCTCATTATTTTAAGAATTTTTATAAAAATATTTCGAACACGAAGAAAAATATAGCAATGACTCTGAGTGTGTCGATAACCTAAATTAAATATACAAGTATATGCATAAGGAACCAAATCTAATTGTAATCCATTGACGTTTTCGTCGCATAATGTTTATTGAATTGTACGCAACATATTTATTAAAAAAGATTTTGTCAACACCGAAGATATTTAACCGCCTTTGTTCTTTAAAAATTACGAGGGTTAAAAATATGTTCGGTTACAAACGAGTTCCTTCCCCTTATTTGTTTCTTGTATGTTTTTGAATTTTTGGACATATCTTTTATGCATATATTTAGTTGCCCTAGCTAAACTTATGTATGTGTAATGAGGCGAGGCAATTAATTATTGCCTTTAGAGCGAATTACAAGGGGCGTTCCAAAGTAAACAGTAAAAAAGTAAACTCTGGTTTCGCCATCTATATGGCGACTTCATCGACTTCAAGTTAAAATTTCATTACATTTCATCCATTGGAAATGAAGTTATCGCGCCAACATTAAATTTTGTTTTAAAATTGGTAAAACTTTTACCGAAACGTTTCAATTGATGAAAGAAGTTTATGGCAATTGCCTATCCCGTAGCAGAGTGCACGAGTGGTTTCAACGTTTTCAAAGTAGTCGTGAGGACATAAATGAGAAATGAGCCGAAACCAAAAAAAATCGCGTCTGGAGAAGTCAAAAGTGAAGACAATGCTGATTTGTTTTTATGATTCAAGGGTATTGTCTACAAAGAATTTGTAATTTTCATTTTAACAATCAACCACTCCCCGTATTCACCTGATATGGCACCGTGCGACTTCTACCTTTTCGGAAAAATGCATTTGCCGATGAAAGGAAAGCGTTATGCAGACGTGGAGGCCATTCAAAAGGCTTGCACCGGCATACTGGCGGCAATAGCGGGCAACAAGCTAAACACTCGTTTGACATGCTTTTGGTATTAAAGCAGAAGGAGACTATTTTGAATAAAATTAATTGATTTTGCCGATAAAACTATTTGTTCTGTCTTTTTTTTTTAAGTCCTGTTTATTTTGGAACACACCTTGTATATTGTAGTAACATGTTCAACATATTATTAAAGTACAAAGACTATATGAATTTATTTTAAACCGTATTTTCATATTTCGAAGATTTTTTTTTCTAGTACATGACTGGCTTTGGATCTTACTTTTCGTCAGAAGATAAAAGATGCCCTGGCTCCCTACCGTCAAATCAAAACTCTCCACAGAACTGTCCTTATGGTTTATATGCGGAACAAATATCAGGAACAGCTTTTACAGCTCCCCGTAAAGAAAATTTAAGATCGTGGTTGTACAGAATACGTCCTAGTGTATTGCACGAGCCGTTTAAGCCTTTTAGCGGTAACACGGGATTAAATAACAATTGGAATGAACAACATCCAAATCCTAATCAAGTAAGAAAACTTACAACAATAAACTGTTTAAAGTATTCACGTTTCATTAGTTTGAAATTACACAGGTTAGATTACAAAAAAAATCTAGAACCAAAGTGCTCATTTATCGACCTCGATTTAGAAGTGCCGTTCTATTAGAAAATAGTTTTTGATTAGGGAGAATAAAGGTTCATCATAAGAATATCTGATATCTCGAAATCCGGCCACCCGCTTTAAAAAGATTTTTGAAGTCATTTGAAGTCAATTAAATCATGATTCGTTTTAGTTACTTATAAAAATTTTATACTAGGTTCTGTAATGTAAGGCATATATTTTAATAGTACATTTTCAAGTTATTAGAAATTTATATGATGGACTTATCAAAGAAAGTAGTTTTGAGGATCTTGAGTCTAAGTAACTCAGGAATTTGATTATTAAAAAGTATGTACGTATTCCAGATGCGTTGGAAACCTTTTGATATACCGTTGAATGACGTAAATTTTGTCGAAGGTTTACACACGATATGTGGTTCAGGGAATGTACATAGCCATCATGGCATTGCAATACATATCTACAGCTGCACTACTTCCATGGAGAAAATCGCTTTTTATAATAGCGATGGTGATTTTTTGATTGGTAAGTAGAATTTTGTCAGTGAATGCCTGCCGTTAATTATGTACTTCGGAAGATATTACATTGACGATATGTATCAATATCCATTTTTAATAGGCTTTGTATGAATAACAATCAAATTACCAAATAACAGAAAGTATGGGCCAGGAGATATCATATATGCATCTAAAGTTTTTCGTGAAAATTTCCGTGTTTTATATACAGATGTGTAACGAAAATCTTATCATTACGTTGAATACAATATCATATGTTTAGTACGTGTGCGTCGCTGTAGCGATAATTAAACCCTGGATAGGGTATATTAAGTTTGTCACGAAGTTTTTGAGACCTTGAAGGAAACGTCGGAGACCTTATAAAATACAAATATTCACATATATGTCCTCAGCGCGATTTAGCCCTGACCGTCTATCTATATATACGCGAATTAGTCCTTCAGTCTTTGAGCTATCCATCTGAAGTTTTGCATACGACGTTATCTCCCCTATCAATAAACTGTTTAAGGCATGTTAAGAATTTAAAACAAATTAAGTGGTTATATGTGAATGATAATGGTTCCAATTCAGTCGACTCTGATGGCGGATGTATTAATTTTAAGTTTTGATCTGTAACTGTTAAAGCGCTTATTTCATTTGAATCAAACAATTACCCTTCAAATCGGTCTCTAAATTTTAAATACTGTATAAAAGCTGTCCGCTTCGGAATCAATTTAGCAAAATTTGTATAAGTTGATTATGCACGAAGATTTTATTCCACACATAACAAGAAAAAACTTCTTAACTGCAATACAAATCAAATCTACCAAATATCCTTAATTCAGATTGTATATTATAGGTACTTTGGTGTGCTTCGATTAGTGAACGACCCAAGCAACGTATACCGTATCAGCAGACAAACCTATCTTATGAGAGCGCAATGTGATAAAAACTTTTCACATTTTTACATTATAATATATTATTAATTTCGTGCAAAACTTTTACGGACTTTAATCGGTTTTCATGACGATTGCATATTGCTTTCAGCCTATGTAACGGCTGTCAATTTACATAAATTTTGACAAGCATTGTAGTTTGTGTGATCAACTTGAAGCCACGTTCTAAATCGGGTAACTGTAGCCTCATATTTGTAAGTATTTATCCGAAAGATTTATAAAATAATCAAGTATAGTCCAGTCATTTAAGCTTAAATTAGGTAAGAATCTCGGAATTCAGATACCCAGCTATAAGTCTGTAAATACTTGTATATTGACACCCTAAAAGTTGTCCCAAAACCTACATATGGTAGGGTGTACGCAACTATTAAATTTCAAGGTCAAAGGTCACAAAAATCGTTTTTTTGCGTTTTTTTTGTAAATATCTCATTTCCTATGGGTTTTTTGCTTTTGGTATTTATTATCAATATTGTAGAATACAAAATTCTCTACAAATTTTGTTTAAAAATTTTTTTCATACGGTGAACCGTTTTTCGAGATAGAGGGCTTAGAGCGCGCGGTCACAGCATCACTTCAGGTCAACCGGTGCCTCCGATCAAAAACGCGCCATATATAGTTGATGAACTATCGATAAATCAATGATTATAAATATTTGTCAATTTTTATTAACTATTATATTATATTTTATCATTTTCTTCATGCTTTAAATCTTTATCTATTCAATAATACTGATCACCGTTTCCTAAAATTAAAAAATAATGAAGGGAAAAACTTAAATCTTACTATAATTATATTCCCATTAACACTAATGACATTTTAATTAGAAAATAATTAAGTGCATCTTCTTTAAAATCTGTAAATTTGTAAATAATAGGACAAGATATTGATTTACTCATCATTTTAATTGGGCGTACACTGTCTTACGAACAAGAAATTTTCTTTAAAAAAGTTGGGAAAGGCAATGTAAAAACGGAGATATACTCGACTAAAAGTTTTGATAATTATCCTCAATCCAAAACACATATTTTATTTCTGCACGCATTAAGTGGATGTGACACAACTTCTGCGCTTTTAAAAGGAAAAAAAAACATTTTTAAAAGTTTTTGAGAAACTGACCAATTTGGATGAACTAGCTGCAGCATTTGAGGAAGAAAATTGTTCGGCCCAGAGATTATTAGAGAGTGGAACTCAAACTTTATTGGCAGTCTATAATGCTTCGAAATCTGTGAAAAGTCTCGATCATCTTCGTTATATGCATTACGTCAAGTCTACAAAACTTAATAAACCGTGCAGCTTTCAAATATTCCACCAACAAGTGCAGCTGCTCATCAACATTTCGAACGTGTATATTATCAAGTTCAAACTTGGTTAGGGCATGATTTGGAACCCCAGGTATGGGGTTGGGCAATGCGAAACGATTTTCTGGAGCCTATCATGACAATTTTACCACCTGCTCCAGAACATTTGCGTAATACAATTTTCTGCAACTGCAAGAGTGGTTGTGGTTCGCGATGCGGATGCAGGAAAGCGGGCTTGCAATGCTCTTTAGCTTGTTGCCAATGTAATGGGCAAGCTTGTCTCAATGCTCTACCATATCAGAGCGACATTAACGAAGATGGAACTTTTGACCCCGAAATCATGGATGAACTTGAAACAAATGTCGTTGAAGACGATAATGAAGACCAGTTTGAAATTTACCAGCAGCCGGAAGATGGAAGAAGATGAAGAGGAAGAAGATGATTGAAATTATAAATTGTAGTTTTTGTACCCTTTATTCCATTTTTTTACTTTTAATAAAAATAAATGTATTGAATGATATTTTTTAATATATTTTTTATATTTCTGTTTTTATCATGTAAGAAGTTATTAATATTAATAAGGTTTAAATTCAAATATAATTCCTATATTTTCATTAACAATTCTGCAATTTCATGGGCAGGTAAGTGTTGTTAAATAAATTAATACTGAATAAAAAGTGGATAGGTTAGGAAAAAAGGATAAAATATAATATAATAGTTAATATTGACAAATATTTATAATCATTGATTTATCGATAATTCATCAACTATATATGGCGCGTTTTTGATCGGAGGCACCGGTTGACCTGAAGTGATGCTGTCACCGCGCGCTCTAAGCCCTCTATCTCGAAAACGGTTCACCGTATGAAAAAAATTTTTAAACAAAATTTGTAGAGAATTTTGTATTCTACAATATAGATAATAAATACCAATAGCAAAAAACCCATAGGAAATGAGATATTTACAAAAAAAACGCAAAAACCCGATTTTTGTGACCTTTGACCTTGAAATTTAATAGTTGCGTACACCCTACCATATGTAGGTTCTGAGACAACTTTTAGGATGTCAATATGCAAGTATTTACAGACTTACAGCTGGGTATCTGAATTCCGAGGTGAACTTACTATAATATAATGACTGGACTAGTATGGAAGGGCTAAGTTCTGGCGTAACAGAACATTTTATACAACAAGGATCATAGCCGGGGAAATACTTTCAGGTGTTGACAAAACTTTATATTGCCTATAAAAGGTTGCGAAAGAATCAAACATTCATTATTCGCCAAAGGGTGAAAGGAAAGGAGAAAGGTCGTATACCCACTTCTCATTCTAGTATATTTGACTTCATATCCGTTATTATTAGTATTAAATCAACCAAGTTAACTCAAATGAGATATATGTGGTGTAAACTCAACCAAAGAAGCTAAATTTAATATATTGGGTATATGAGGACAAAATCAACTAGTGAAACTGAAATCATTATAATGGGGATTAGAGAATTAGATCACGGACTACACCAATTTCATTCATATTCAGCGCTAAACTATAAAACTTGAAAATATCATATATCAAGTACATTCGGGAACATATTTCATGCAATTTATGAAGAGAACATACACTGACTGACTATCCGTCATAAAGTCTGGTGAAATAGCGAAAATCATTATATTATATATATTATACATTCACTTAGTTTGGGTAATATATTATTACAAATTGACCGATATCCCAAACACAGTTTAAAGATTTTAGTAATTTTAGGTATAAGGATACACTATTATTAGATAGAGGAACTATTTAAATTTCATTAAGACATCTCACATATTGATATAAAGTCAATCGGAAGTTCGAAAATCTTTATATTAGGTATTTGGTGGCTATTGGAAGTATTGTTCCGATTGAGCCCATTGTTGACATGCCAGCATACTATTATCAGAAAAACACTATCTCCGAACTTCTCACAGGTTTACAGATATTTTCGGTAAACAGTTAGCAATAGACGCAGGACTCCTCATATTCAGTATCTGGGAGTTTGAACAGTAGTGGACTGATTTTGACAATTTTTAAACTTAAGATGGCATACCTTAAAAGCACTGTTCATGTTATAAATAAAGTAAAGAAAATGTAGCATAACGAATTGGTTGAAGTGAGATTTGGTTTTTGACAATGTCACGTCCGTTGTCCAACTTCGACTTCATTTCCTATAAAACTAACAACGGTTAGTAGATGAAAACTATTATACTCTATGCATCATGTTGCAAAAATATAACTAGAGAAATAATAGTGAAGGAAGTTTAAATAAAGAATACAAAGATATCCCTTCAGACTTAATTAAAACCAAATGAATTGAAGAGCATTAATATGAAGTGAAAATAAAACAAGGGTCGCTATCAATCTTTGTGAAAATTACGATACTACTTTAGACTCAAAAAATTTCGCCAGGGTTTAGGTATTAAGGTATATTATAGGATCAAATTCCACTACCAAGTACTTACTGTAGATATGTTCAACTTCATTAAAAATAAATGTTTTTTGTTAAACAGACAGGTAAAAAATTTGAGAGGTACTGCCGATGCAGTACATTCATCCTTTAAAACGGTGCTAAACTTTATTGTTAAATTACCTTGTCTCGTTTTCACGTATGCTGACAGACGACCGACATGCCACTACGAACAAGAACTCCGCACTTTGAAGATGTTCAATGTTGTGTTTAGATAGCTGATATACTAAGACCTTCCATCGGAGCTGGCGCCAGATATAAGTGATGCGCTACTGTTACGCGAAATCAAAAATTAGAACGATGAGTACAGTGCAAAACTCTTACTTGGTATACAACTTGGTAAATTGCTTTCCAAATCATTATAAACCAGGTGTGCAATTCAAAAATGCAAAAGAAATTAGGGAAATGGGTTGCAGTAAAGGCAATATATAGTGACTTCGTGGAAATGTTTCTAACAATAAAATTCAGGCACACAGAAAATGTGGCAATGGTATCTGAGATTCTAACGATTAACAGAAAGCTAAGCGAAAGTTATAAGACTATTTTTTCAAGCATGAAAAATAAGGGAAAGCTTAAGTTGCAATTAAAAATGGACCATGGTCGTCTCTCACTTAAAAAGTTTTAAGTTAACGTGTGAAACCCCAAATTTAAGCTGTCGGACTGTTTTAAAGCTCTGCTAACATACGCTCAAAGCATTTGACAGTTGTTTACACAACGCGCGCCACTTCGCATTCGAACCTTTTTTATACTCTCGCAACCTGTTGCTACAGAGTATAATAGTTTTGTTCACCTAACGGTTGTTTGTATCACCTAAAACTAATCCAGTTAGATATAGCGTTATATATATATAAATGATCAGGATGAAGAGACGAGTTGAAATCCGGGTGACTGTCAGTCCGTCCGTCCGTCCGTGCAAGCTCTAACTTGAGTAAAAATTGAGATATCTTTATGAAACTTGGTAGACATGTTTCTTGGTACCGTGAGACAGTTGGTATTGCAGAGGGGCGTAATCGGACCACTGCCACGCCCACAAAACGCCATTAATCAAAAACAAATAAATTGCCATAACTAAGCTGCGCAATAAGATACAAGACTGTTATTTGGTACACAGGATCAAATTAGGGAGGGGCATCTGCAGTTAAAACTTTTTATTTAAAGTGGGCGTGGTCCCGCCCCTAATAGGTTTAATGTGCATTTCTCCTAAACCGCTAATGCTATAATAACAAAATTCACTGGAAGCAAATATTTTTAGAACCTTTACCTACAGTGTGAAAATAGTTGAAATCGGGTGGCAACTCCGCTCATCCCATATAACGGTACTGTTCAAAACTGCTAAAAGCGCGATAAATCAAGCACTAAACACGCCAAGGACATTAAATTTTATCTCTGAGGTGGTATTAGATGACTTTATAAGAATCGCGTTCAAAATTAGACAGTGGGCGTGGCACAGCCCACTTTTAGGTGAAAACCCATATCTTGAGATCTGCTTAACTAATTTGAACCAAATTCGGTACATAACATTCTTCTCATATCTCTATGTTATAGTGCGAAAATGGGCGAAATCGGATTACAACCACCTATTTCCTATATAACACCATTTTAAATTCTAGTTGATTCTTTCACTTTCCAGTATGCAAATCAAGCACCAATGATTGTATAGGGGTAAAGCTTTGCGTGAATAATGCGTTTAAGGTATGCCACCTTGTGACCAAAAATTGTCTAAATCGAACAAAAACTGTTCAAGCCAGTAAGTACTAAATATGTGGACCCCAGTGCCTATAGTTGACCTTCTACCGAAAATATCAGTCAATCCACAAAGAAATCTCAAACGAGTATACTATTTGACTTTGCGAGAATATAAAATGTTCGGTTATATCCGAACTTAGCCCTTCCTTACATGTTATATATGACGTTCGCTGCTTCAAGCTAACCAATAATATCTATAGTGAAATAAGTATATTTTTATATTGAATGCAAATTAAGATAATTGGTGCAGGATATATTACTTTCGTAAGAGTATACTAATTTAAATATTTACTGAACCTGAGTTCACGACTCGTAATTTGATATGACCGTGAATGGATTAAAATCATATCATACATATTAATATATATTATAGGTGTCAGATACTCAAATAGTTCCGATTGTACATTTTGTTTAATTTTCGAGATTTACAATCACCGTAACCAACACAAATAAAGCTGTGTGAAGTTTATCGAAATATTCTTACTTAATTTAATTGAGACATCTCCAAGATATGGTATATACTACATCAACTGAACAAAAATAAATGTGTGAAGTATGTAGTATATATGGTAATGCGGTACAAGTCAAACGGAAATCTTTAATCTTGGGGTTGAACGAAACGCCTAGACCGCTTTAAACATATTTATTTAATATCATAAAAATCTTTAATACATATATTGACCAATATTATTGTTATTAAGCTTACCGGAAAATCCATTTCCGTCTGCCATTAACCTAAAGTCTCTCCATTTCTCCACCTATTTGATTAATTTAACTCACACAATGACTGGTATATTCAACATAAAATCCACTAGAATTTAGTACTTGAGGGCTGGGGATTTGTGGATCGATTTCATCCTATTTCGTATGTATGTATGTATATAATTTGATTGCGAAAATATTTTACATATTGGCCGATATAACCCGATTTCATTCATTTTTGGCACAAGAACATATTAATATATTATAAAAAACAAGATGCTGATGGTCCCAAGTTTCAACCAGATATCGTAATTTTTGTTTAAGTTACATTTCGCATGGACAGACGGACATATGGACAGACAATGGATCAACAGGATTTCAATTCAGACCGGCCGTAAATTATTTTTTCTATCATTTCTGTTATTTCATATTTTTAGTTTTAGTTGTTACAAACAACCGTTAAGTTAACAAAAGTATTATACTCTGTAGCAATATGTGGCAAGAGTATAAAAAATCAAAAACCGGTAAATTGGATGTTTCACAAAAATTTGGAGGTAATGCGAAAAATGTTTTAATACAAAAGATGTAAGTAGATGTTTTGCCAGAAATCGAGATAAATAGTTTTTAAAATTCAATCACGCCTCTCCTCTTCCTCTTACCCACCTCAGGCCGACCGTAAATTATTTTTTTCTATCATTTTTGTTATATTATATGTGATATCGAAAGAGTTTCGTCCTACTATGCTTTTCTACTGTTGCTATTATGTTTTCTTATTTTTTAGTGCCTCAGAAGGGAAGTTTGGAAGTAACTACTGAATATGGTAAATTAGTTCTAAGGCCAAATGAAATATGCGTCATACCACAAGGTATTCGCTATTCAGTTAAAGTAATGGAACCATCAAGGTATGTAACCCCATTAAAATTGTGAGTATACCATATATCTATTTAAATCTGGAAATTGTATCATTCATATCATAACAATTTTGTTCATCTGGTAATATTTGAAGAAAGCGGTACAAAAATATTGAATACTTTATTTGTTAACATAGTCTCCTATATTTCGATTCACTTGACCCAGCGATTCTCCAACTTCTTTAAACCGTCTGAAAAATAGATATCATATTGAGCCAATTTTATGGATGCGGCAGCAGTTCGTAGCTTAGTTTGACCAATTTGACGATATGACGACGGTGACGTCAGCGGATGCGTTGTCACGGTGGGAGAGCTCTTTTTTCCGCCAAATGTGGCCGCCATTTCTGTAATTCAGAATCAAATTAGTCCAATTACTCGGCATAGCAGAGCTTAGTGACACCAGAGAATGTTAATGAATAGAGAAGCCGCAAATGTTAAATCAAATCTTTTTGTGTACTAATTTGTAATTCCAGATGAGGGAACATCGAAAAATATAACTTCGAAAAAGAAAAATACACCACAGAATATGCGAAATGCTATAAATAGACACAACGAATATTCCATTTTTAGAACTGCCGTGGGGAAGCAGCTTGTGGGCAACATGCAAACGCAGGGGGATGGTAGGATTTGCTGTGGTCAAATTGTAAAATTGATATTTTTCTCGTTTTACTGAAACCATTCAAATTCAATTTTACATGTACATATGTGTACATATATGCAAATATATTTGGACATGCGAATGAAGGAAGGCAATTTCAAGAACATTTACATATAGACATATAAATATTTTTGCTGCTTTTGTAGCACGCTTCTTTATTGCAAAGTGAAATGTTTTGCCTAAGTTCAAATCTTATCAAATATTTTTATATACATAATTTTTTATATATATATAAGTCAATTATTTCCCTTTTTATTACTTTAAATTTTGTTCATGCGCATACCAAAGAACATCTGCGCATATGTATGTATATATATAGGGATCTCGGGGGTATGGGGATAAGCTGGACTGACGGACGTTTAAATGTTAGCGGTGTGATCTTCACTTGTTGGAATGCCGAACAGTTAGGCTCGTTTGCTAGTGAGTTGGTTAGGCGGCGAAGGCGTTTAACTGGAATTAAGGTTGGACTTTTTTGTGAAAAGTATGTGCGTGTAATGTGCGTATGGGGTCCAAACTCCTGGTTACCAGTCCGGAGCAGTATGCGAGCTCAACTGGTAGTAGCTTCGGCTACGAGGTCTGACCGGAGGCTTAATTCTGGTACCACAAGAGCAGGGGTGCTTCAGGGAGTATTCTGGGGGAACGATGAAAATCACTCAAGGATGTCGGTATCATCCAATGTGTTGTGAATGAAGTAGATTTTTCGACTTTCTGGGGCAATTATATTGCGCATGGGCGAATATGGCAAAGAATCGGTAGATTCCACCAGAGAGATCCAACCAGAGGGTGGTGGTGGTAAATTGCAGCGGCTTGCTCCTTCTTGTACCTAGATCGGAAGGATTGTCAGCACTGGCTACGTGTCCAAAAGGGGTGGATCCTACTAGATCCATTGGAAATATACGTCTTCCATGCATCGGACCATAGATATAATTTATATTGAGCTTTGTTTAAATGCGTTTATACGATGGACACTGGTTTGGCTAGTAGGAGCGCTCCACATAGTTCAAGTCAGGGTAGGCTTATTGTTTTTAAAGGAGCCGTTTTGGCTTTTGCTACTAGTAAGTGGCTTGTGGTCGCAGTGTCGCTTTGTGTGCGAACATATATAGTGGCGCAATATGCCTTTTCAGAGGCGTCACAGAAACCGTGGAGTTCGACTTGGTTCTCTGGGGCATAATTTACCAATTGTGGGGCTTGTATCTGTGAAATATCATTCAGATTACCCGCGAATTGGGACTACTTTTCAAACCGAAGTAGGGGTCGAAAAGGTTTGCTTCAACGGATAAAATTTGTCGCGGATAATGCTGCTATTGACTCTGCAGTGTATGAACACTTGCCTTCCATAGCATCTCCACAGTTTTTTGTTATACTGTCCTTTTCAAATTTTCTTTTGGTATATTTGGGTGATTCGCTGAAAATTTTGGTCGTCTTTATATACGACTATTTGTCGATAATTTTTTCAACATCCCCGTTAAATTCGTATTTGAATTTAATATGAAGAGCTGGCTTTACTATTGCGTGATGTGGCAAGTAAAATAAGTAGTATATGCCGTTTATGATTTTTTCGGCTGAATTTACTTCTTCCATGTGATCTAAATGGAGGTATTCTTCTAAGCTCACCTTTTTTAAGTAAGTGATCTAAGGTGAGCGTGTTAGGAAATTTTTGTTTTAGTGGTGGTCTTACGACGTACCGACCTTTATCTGATCAAGTAGTTGCGGCTTTGTAAAAGTCTTCACAATACTGATCTTCTGGGGTTGTGATTATAAGGAGGAAAGTTTTTCTAACTCCCAAAATTTCTTTAATTGTGAATTGATGTATTCATTTGAGATTTCCACTTAGGATCCAACCAAAAATAGTATTTTGAGGCAGAAATGTGTTTGAAATTGCCTTAATACTTCGAGTATTTTCTGTGGTATGAGATCGCTGCCTAATAGAAGGAATATTCGAGCAGGGGTGTTGCAGTTGGGCTCTGCCAGCTTTAAGTGTGAAAGCTTTACCAGTGCTTGCTATTTATCTGATAGCTTGGAATCATATTTGTTAGTTGCGGTAAGAAAATAGCTTCTCCTTAAATGCGCTTATTCTTTGTGCTTAAGACGCTATAAATGATCATTGTGATCCTTGGTCTATTAAGGCCCTAAGCTTAAACAGTTCTCCTCGGTATTCGATGGAGACGACTGCTGTGGGTAGTAGTACTCTACTTTGACTTTCGCTGTGTAGCGTTTGGGTTTTTAATGCCTTTGAGCAGCATGGCATGGCTTCTTGGCAATTTTCGGGATTTCGCACCTTTGGACACACACATAGAATGATGTCGTTTATGACAGTAAGCGCAATTAAACTTGCTTTCGCACTCTTTATGTGTATGCGCATATGACAAACAGTTTGTACAAAGTCTTTTCGTTCTTACAAAATTGTTTCGATAGGTATTATTCATTGTTTGGAATTTCCCGCAATATTTGACCTTATGCCCCGATTTACATAGTTCGCATGAGGTTTCTTTGTACTGAACGTTTGATTTTTGAACAAGGTTTTATTTAAATTGTTGTTGCTACTGGCTTGGGGCCTGTGGAAGCCTATATTTAGGTCGTGTTGAACGCTTCTCGTTCTAACTATTTTTTTGCCTACCCTTTCTGCGATTTTTTACTGGGTAGTTTATGCCCACGTAGGGCATTGTCTTCGTGATGAGAGCGATTGCTCCCATAGAAGTAATGAATTTTCTGGTTATGCGGCGGTGCATATGTTTACCAGTATAGGGTCCCAGCTGTCTGTGGTAATATTCTCTGTCGATAAAACCGACAAACAATTTGAAACAGTTTATTAAAGTTTGATAAACTCTTCACTTCTTTTATTTCAAATTCAATTGACAGAAATGTCCTGAATCGGCGAAGATGAGTAGCTAGTACAGGCTGTCACTCACGGAAATAAATTTGGTGTATGAAATATTATTCACCCTGCTTTTATACTGCATCCTCCACTCCTACTGCTCATCGTGGGCGGTGTTTATTCGCCAGAGTCACAGGAGCTTCAGCGGATCTGCTAGCTTTTATACCGCATCCTCACTCCTGCTGCTCATGGTCGGGGATTGCTTCGTTCGTTTTATCTTATTTCGCAGCTGACCTGCTACTACAGGGCGTTTGGCTATCCGCGACCAATCGCCCAGCTGGACCGACCAAATTCAGTAGCACACACCACTTCGTTCGGAGCAGGTGCTCTCTGGGTGCGTGTGTCTGAATGCACTGAAGGATACGACTCGCGCGCAGGCCCCCTCAGAAGCAACAACCAGCCAAGCGGTCGATTAAAGCGGTATCCCAGGGGCACAACCCACAACTCCAGCAAAATGACTGGAAAAGGTTACTCTATTGGCCGCCGGACGGAGCAATGTCCCCGTAATGATCTTATGTCAACCGATGTAGTGCTGCACCGAATCGTTCCGTTAACAGTTTGCTACTACGACCATTGGTCCGCACAGAAATCTTAGTCACTAATATTTGAACAGACACCGTCACCTTTTGGGCAGTCCCATTCCGGGCAGAGTTGTGGTGTAATGTGGTGTGTATGTGTGTGTGGACTGTCTGTGTGATGTTTGAATGGGTGGTGCATGTTTTTGTGTGGTGTCTTCATAAGTGGAATATGTTGATGTGATGTGTTGGCGTTGAGGGGAGGCGTAACTCATCTAGACAGTGATAAATCCTTATATCAGGTGAATTTGAACTTCTGACATCACTCAAGTATACGGAGAAATATGTTTCCATACAGTTTTATGAATACATTTCACACACTGACCGACATGTTCGGCATAAAGTTTAAAGTCGCAATATTATACCCTCACTTAATTTTATATATACATATTGATCGATGTATACAGTATAACGTCAACGACAAGTTTGAAATTCTTAAATTGGATACTCGTGTATGGGTGTTAGGGTAGTATTGACCTACTTTTATTGATTTTTTGAATCACCACATACTATTGCCATAAAAAGATGTTCGCTTACTGTGTATAAAATTCCTAATATATTAACCAATATATAAGATATAAAGTCAACTGAATGTTTGAACAACTTTACATTAGGTATATGGGGGCTAGAAGGAGTATTCAACCAATTTATCCATTGTAGGAAAAATGATACACTGATGTTAGCAAGAGATTGTCTCTGAATTTCATTAAGATAACTCATATAGATAAAGTAGTTATATAATCAACTCGAAGTTCGAAAGTCTGTATGTGAGGTGTTCGAGGGCTTGCGTAAGCGTTGTCCTAATTCTTTTTGTCACAAGGGCATGATATCTTCAGATAAAGACCTTCAAACATATACCTACATATCAGTAAAATATCAGATA